TCTCCATTCCTTTGCCTCATTATCCTTCCCTCAAACCTTCTTGGCAAATGCTCGGCTTTGGACCATTCTAACTTTCCTCATGCCGATGTCTCGGTTGCTGGAAAAAATCCACAGCTGGGCAGCTGGTTGCTCCAAGAACTCCAGCCCAGTGGCTCACATGGACCCTGGCAGTCCCCAGACGTTTCCCTGGTCAGAGAAGCAATTTCAAACCTTCATCACTTTCCTCAAACTTCCATTCCTTCCCCCACCAACCCCTCCATTCTTTGCAGATAATTTGGCCTCTTAATTCTCAGAAAAGAACAAAACTCAGACTGGAACATTCAGCCCACCCCCACCTGCCAAGTCTGCAGATTTATCTGTGAACCCCACCCACCCTGCTGCTGCAGAGGAAGGCTTTGCAGTCTGTCTGTCTTTTCGGAGACCTTGACTCTTCAGTTCTCTTTCTCTGGCATCTTCCTCGCAAGTGCCTCCTTCCCATCAGCGTTTAAAGACGGCCCTGTCCTCTTAAAATGCATTCTCCGTCCATCCATCCTATAGTGTTACCCTGTCTCATCCGTTGCCTCCAGGCCTACCTAGTCCCCGCCACAGTCTAACTTGCTGAGGGGGCTGCTCCCACTTTCTCTCCTCCTGCTCACCTTTCACCCCTTTACACCCTGACCTCCACCCCACAGCTCCCACTCAGTCCTTGTTATCAATCCAGTGGACACTTGGAATGCATGTTCCTTCTCTCAGTTGGCCTCTTGGGAGGGTCTAACACTGCTGACTGACCCCCCTTGAGGCATGTTGCCCCCTTGGTGTCTCTGAAGCCCTGTCTCAGAACTCGGAGGTCTTCTCAGTCTCCTTTGCCCAGCTCTTAAACATAGATGTTTCTCTGGATTCTAGCCCAGATCCCCATTCCACTCTAGACGCCCATTCCCGAGGCTTCAGGTACCATCTTGCTACCACCTGAAAACTTCCAACTTCTCCCCAGATGACACTTGGTGAAAACTTCAGTAGCCATTGTCCTCTCCACTAGGGTATCTCTCAGGGCCTCAAGATCAGTAGCCCCAACCAAATTTGAGCTTTTCTTCCAAGCCTGCCATTCCCTCTGGTGACGACAAAAAGCAAGCCTTTCCCTTTTGTCAAAACCAGAGAACGGTCAGTGTGATCCCTGACTCAAGGAGGACCCTGTCTCCTAAACTTTAGGTCCAGACCACCACCAAGTCCTAGATTGCTGGCAAGGTGGGGTGTGTGCAATCAGACGGCTGGTTGAAGTTCTGATTCTGTTGGTGGTCTGGGAAAAATGCTCTGGTGACCACTTCCATAAACGTTGGCTTGTTGTGTGCCATCTTAGAACCCTAGGGGGCAGTTCTCTGTCCTACAAGGTCGTGATGAGTCAGTGTCAACTCCACAGCAGAGAGTTTGCTTGTGCTGCCCATCTCTACCCAGAAGCATTCCCACTGCAGAGCGTGGACTGGCCACCTGCCCTGTCACCAGTATCAGACGCCTCAGCACAGCCTGGCCTCTCTGCCTCTCCAAAGCTCTCCAGTGGACCCCTCTCTCCACCCCGCATGCCAGCCCCTGCTCGCCGGGACCACCCTGCGTCTCCCAGGGATTTCTCTCCTTCTCTCTGGAAAACACAACTCTGACCTCGTTGTCCACCCCTCCCTTACTTAGCTTTGAAGTTAAAAGCCAACCATTTCAGCAGGGCCAAGAAGGTCCTGCACTGTCTAAGCTGACCTCTGCGCAGGTCATCCCCCGACATGTCCCCGGTACCTGCCAGGCTTCAGCCTCGTCTCCCCTCCTCATTCCTCCCCTCACTAGCCATGTGTCCTCCAGAGCGGGGACGCCTTGTCCGATTCCCAGCCTGGTTCAGGGTATTTACTGTTAGAGAAACGTGAATGTGTTTTCTTCCTTCAGAGAACGTATTGTAATTTGAAGTTTTATACACATACACACACACACACACTTACAGAGAGACTCAAACCCACATACACTAACACATTCGCACACATGGCGACATCAAACCTGCTGCCTTCCAGGAGACTTTGACGCCTAGTAACCCCATGTGCCAGAGCCACTCCATGGATTTCCTCGACTGTCATCTCCCTGGTGGCTCTGTAGGAGCCAGCAGTTCAAATGCCCCAGCTGCTCCCTGGGAGAAAGATGAGGCTTTCTGCTTCTGTAAAGATTGACAGGTTTGGAAGCCCTCTGGAGGGTTGCTGTGAATCGGAACCGACTCGGTGACAGTGGTGGGGGGTGAAGTCTTTACAGGAGCAGATCACCGGGTCCTTTCTTCACACAAAGAAAGTTCAAACCAAAAGGGTCACCACTGTGCCACCAGGGTTCCTTGCATGCACGCAAATATATATACAAATACATATGCAAATACATATACAAATACATATACAAATACACCTACTTATCATTTACTGTACCAAAAGGAAATGGTTGATGTTCACCTGTTTCAAGAGGTATACTATCAAGAGCCAATGATACTGAAGGAGGAAGTCCAAGGTACATTGAAGGAATTGGCAAAGAGCAAGGCACCAGAAATTGATGGAATAAAAATTGAAATCTGTCAACAATGTGAGGTGGCACTGGAGGCACTCACTCATCT